CTAAAATTATCTGCGTGGAACATGATGCTATTATTAAGGGATAGAGTTATAGAATAATTTTGGACCTCAGGAGGCCACCTGGTTCAACCTTTTGTTCAAAGCAAGGTCAGTGCTTTATCCAGGCCAGCTTGCTCAGGGCTCTATCCTGTCACATCTGAAACTTTCAAGAACAAATAGTCTCTTAAATTCTCCTTTAATTCTTCTATAAGCTAAATAAGCCCATTTCTTTCAGACTCTCCTCACAGGACATGTTCTGTTGCTGATTTTGACTCTTAACTGTGCTTTAGCTTTCCTAACACCATCCCCACATGTATGGAAAATGTTTATGTATTTCTTTCTGTAGCTGGCCCTAGCTTTCACCTACTGTGTGTGTCCTCACATGTGAGCAGAACCATGAGTCTCCTGCCTAGCCAGATCGGTCTCCCAGTATGTGTGCTTGTTTTCCTCAGTGTTTGGGTGAACTTCTCTTGTACTTGGTTGTCCTTAGAAGACCAGTCAAGTCTCTCGAGACTTTGTCTGTCAGAAGTAAGACCCAGAGCTAGGATACCATTTATCACCCATCTCTGAAACACTTGGAAAGTAAAGGTCTTTTTGTGATTAGGTGTGGCACTGAACCACAGTGAGTTAAAGACTGGAAAGGAAAGCTGCAAGTTTCTACATTCAATATATTTATACTGGGATTTGCCCACAGTAAGCCTAAATTATCTCTGTCTAAAATTCTGAAGTGCATGAAGTAATGCTGGCAATTGCACTGCAAATCAAAGCCACTGGGCAGCATCTTAGTTGCAGTATATTCTTGTATTTCCAAGGCCTTCCCTGCCCCCCCTCCTGTTGTGCATCACATGCCCTTAAGGATACAAGACTAATAGCCTTACTCCTTCTGTTGGCAGTGTACTTAAAGGTCCCTACTGGCTAATTTCCTAACTCCTTCCACTCTGCTGATTTTTCACACAGAGCAATGGATAGTCTGGCCCGTGTCATTTTTTTTTTTTCCTCCATATACCAGAAATAAGTCTTGTGAAGTTTGGATTATGGCAAAGCATGCATGAGATGTCAATGAAATGTCAAAATACTAAATATACTTTGTAGATTTTGCTGTCAGGTTAAATTTTGCTTTTCTAGAATTAATTTTTAGTTACCACCTCTATTAATCAGGTTGTAGAAGCCACTGTTGTAGGTAATAACGTTTGCAATAATTAATTTTAAACCTCTCTGTAACATTTATCCCATCTAGGCTGAAAAGCTACTAAATATAAGGGAAGGAAAGATCCTGGAAAAAGGGCTGATTCAGTTTTCCACGCTGGGCTCACTTCTATTAAATATTTTCCTCTCTTGCAGTTGGTGAGGCCTACAAGGAAATGCTAGTAGCTGACAATCTTGATATCAACAACATGAGGCATAAGATCAGAGATTATTCACTTTCTGGAGCCTACAGAAAGATTATCATTCGACCTCAGAATGTCAGTTGGTAAGTAGGAGGATAAGGGAAATTACACTTGAATTCCCAGTGGAGAGTATGTGTGGGATGACTTAAGAACCATTCAGTTGACCCATGGGATGTACATGTGGGCCTTTCAGTTGTAACTGCCAGATTGGAACAATAAGTAGTATAACACATACATAGGTTTATACAAAACTATAAACATATTTTATTCAAAATAATGAATTATTTCACATGTTTGTGTATATTATAAAGGGAGGTGGTTGCATATGACGATCCCAGGATCCCATTATTTACTACAGATTTGGATAAACTGGAGGGAAAACCATTACCAGTTCTTCCTACAGGTAAGTAGATTTTTCTGCTGATGTTTGCAGAATAGAAGTTCGACCTGGCTGTTGGCTTTATCTGCAACATATTGAAAGCTCTTTTGAGGAAGAACTTTCATGTAATTAGACTGTTAAGTAATGGTATTAAAGGTCTCCAAAGTTAGGTGTCTAAATAAGGACCTTTATTTCTCAAGAGCATGAGCAATTCTGCCAGCAGTCTGTTGGCTGTTCCATTTTCTTATAAACACCAGTAAAATTGAGTATATGCTTAACAAAACATGCCTGTGAAATGCATGAAGATGGAATTAAGCCAGAAAATGTCCATATGCTTGAGCATGTTTTATTTGTGCTGAAGGTAAGAGACTGCTCAAATACCTAACAGAATTTAATGGTCCTTTGGCACTATTTTCCACAAGAAGTGAAGAGAGACTAGGAATTCAGTTTTGAGAAAACAAAAGTTTATCTTGCTTTGAAAAGAAGAAAATGCCAATTCCTGC